AAAAAAAAAAAAAAAAAAAGGCAGAGGGGTTACTTCCCTGACGGTCCAGTGGTTAAGACTCCGTGCTTCCACTGCAGGGAGTACGGGTTCGATTCCTGGCCGGGGAACTAAGATCCCACATGCCTCACGGTGCAGCAAAAAAACAAAACAAAATAAAAAGGTAGAAGAGACAGCCGTCAAAAAGAACGAAATTTTGCTATTTGCAGCAACATGGATGGACTTGGAGGGTGTCATGCTAAGTGAAATGAGTCAGACAGAGAAAGACAATTACTATACGCTTATGTGTGGAATCTAAAAAATACAAGAAACTAGTGAGTATAACAACACAAAAAGCAGACTCAGAGATATAGAGAACAAACTAGTAGTTACCAGAGGGGAGAGGGAGGAGAAGGGCAACGTGAGGGTCGGGAAGTGGGAGGTACGAACTATTGGGTGTAAGATAGGTTACAGGGATGTACTGTACAGCACCGGGAATAGAGCCAATATTTGTAATAAGTGTAAGTGGACTGTAACCTTTCAAAATTATATTAAAAATTTAAAAATTAAAAAAAAAATAGCACTACCATACAATCCAGCCAAAAAAATAAAAAATGGCAGAGGGGTAGATCAGGAGGGCCCTGCAGCCGGTCTCAGTGGGCAGAGCTGTCCTGACCACCAGCTGCCCGCGGAGGGGCCACTCTGGTACCGCTGCTTGCCTGGGTCTCTGAGGGCTGCAGGGGAGGCTGATGGGACCCAACAGGCTTCTCCTCCTGCCCCCCACACCCAAGGGGGAGCCCTAGGTTCAAGCCTCAGCTCTGTTCAGTGACACTGGCAGGGGTCCAGCTCCCTCTGGGACTCGGTTTCCCCAGGTGTAAAAAGGGAGGGTGGGGCAAGGTGACGTCAACTCACTCAGTGGCCCCCAGGAACCCCATGGAGGGAGACTTCCTCCCTGCCCCCCACCCCGGCAGCTCTGGCTAGGAGGCCCCTGGGCCCACCAAGGGTCCCCTTGCTCCCAGCCTGGCTCAAGCAGCACAGACCCTGTCCTGACTTCAGGGGGTCTGATGGAGATGCAGACATAAAAACCAAGACCCTGGAGGAAGCCCAAAAGGAGAACTCCAATCTCATCTGGGCTTAGGCAAGGCTTCCTGAAAGAAGTGAGGCCAGGCAAAGACTTACAGGGTGACTGGCAGTGGGCTCCCTCCAAAGCACTGCAAGGCTTCCATCTGCTTCTTTTTATGTTTTGAATGAAAAGCTTATGAATTGACTCTGACACCTGCTACAACACAGATGAACCCTGAAGACATGATGCTCAGTGAAAGAAGCCGTCACAAAAGGACAAATACTGTCTGATTCCACTCACAGGGGGTCCCTAGAGGAGTCAGATCCACAGAGACAGAAAGTAGATGGTGGGGGCCAGGGGCTGGGGAGTGAGTGTCTAATGAGTACAGAGTTTCAGTTTTGCAAGATCAAAACAGTTATGGGGTTGGATGGTGGTGATGGTTGCACAACACTGTGAATGTACTTAAAGCCACTGAACTGTACACTTTAAAATGGCCAAGAGGGCCTCGCTGGTGGTGCAGTGGTTAAGAATCCGCCTGCCAACGCAGGGCACATGGGTTCGAGCCCTGGTCCGGGAAGATCCCACATGCCACGGAGCAACTAAGCCCGTGCGCCACAACTACTGAGCCTGCGCTCTAGAGCCCACGAGCCACAACTACTGAGTCTGCATGCCACAGCTACTGAAGCTGCGCACCTAGAGTCCATGCTCTGCAACAAGAGAAGCCACCACAATGGGAAGCCCGCGCACCGCAACGAAGAGTAGCCCCTGCTCGCCACAACTAGAGAAAGCCTGCGTGCAGCAACGAAGACCCAAAACAGCCAAAGGTAAATAAATAAAATAAATAAATTTTAAAAAAATAAAAATAAAATGGCCAAGAAGCTAAATTGTGTTATATCGTAACAATAAAAAAAAATTGGAAAGAAAAGCTTATGAATTAAATTGTCTCAAGTAAACATCATGAAAATACATTAAACTTGAAAAACTGGTGGCCAGATTAAATCTTAATGAGTTAAAGTGGATTTAAATCTGTGTGGGGTTTCCTTAAATCTCTTTTCCTTGGAACTGGTGACAAGTTGGTGAACCAGACAGACTCAGCTCACACGTGGAAGGCTGGCACTGAGGTTTAAATACATTTATCAAATGCTTATGAGGTGGCAAAGCCCCTTGCGGGCACTTTATGTGGACCACAGCCACGTACTCTCAAAACAACCCAGTGAGGAAGGTGTCCCCAGTTTAGAGATACGGGGGTGAAGCAACTTTTCCCAGGATGTACAGGGAGAGAGGCTTCTACTCAGGACCTGAGCCCAGGCACCCTGAGTCCACAGCCAGCCATTTTCTCAAGCAGCCCCCCCAAGATGTGAGCTACTCACCAACATTGGACCTTCAGATTTTACCCAGTAATCTGGAGTTTCTGCTTTTCGTGAAGAATCAGACCTGGCTAGCCAGTTTCCACGTGGTGATTACTGGTTTGTTTATTTGCCCACCTGGCCCCTCTAGGTAGCTGGATTTCTTTTTTGTTTTTTTTTCTGGCCCATGGCTAGTGGGATCTTAGTTCCCCGACCAGAGATCGAACCCAGGCCCCGGCAGTGAAAGCACCAAGCCCTAACCACTGGACCGCCAGGGGATTCCCGCAGTTGGATTTCAGACCCCAGGCAGGGCTGGGAGGAAATCCCTTGGGCCCGAGAGCGAAGAGAGTGAAGGCAAAGATCCCTGCTTGGCCACCACTAACCTCGGTGTGTCCAAGGCCCGGATGACAGTTGAGAGGAGCCGGCCGTCCCTTGAAGTCACCTGTGCCACATACTGGGGTGGCCCGAGGCCCGTGGCCTCCACGACCTTGGAGAAGGCGGGGCTGTCGGAGCAGTCGCACAGGGAGCCAGGGAGGTGACAGCAGTCACCCGTCGTCATGGCCACAGGGAGCCCCGCGTCCTCAGGGCCCAAGGCCCATGGTCCCAGGAGCCTGGGGAGAGGCCGGCAGGAAGATTAAGGGCAAGGTTAGCAAGCCACACACCGAATCCAGCTCTCTGAGCCTCAGTTGCCCAATCTGTACAATGGGGGTTTGGAGGGGGCTGTGAGGATTCAATAAGGTCACACATGCAGCTCAGCCCAGGCCTGGCACATCTCAGGGGCTTGATTATATTACCTCTGACCCTCCTAAGAAAGGCCAGCCCGGCCCAGCCTGCAAAGCATGCAGGTCACCCCCAATATCACCTTTCCAGACATGATAACAGCACCTAACAGTGATTGAACACCTTCTGTGTAGCAGGCCCTGTGCTTGGCGCTTTCCAGGAACAGAACCATGCCCGCCAACCATGTAGAGACTGTTCTCCATGGATTGGATTGCCAGGCCTGGGCTCATACCCACCTTGGAGTGGGCCAGAACTGAGCTAGAAACTTGGCCCAGCAGACCAGGATAGTGAGTCACTTTGACCCTCCTGGTTGACGGCCTCTTGTGGGGCTCTGAACTCCTTGATAACTCAGGCTATCAAGGAAGTGGCCCAGGCTGGGGAGGACCATGGCAGTCTCTGTCCCCACCCACCAGAGCAGCTGCTCTAACCCATGCCTCTGTCCCCAAGGAGAGGCCACCGGAGCAATCTGGAGTCTGCTCTGGGTGGGAGACTTCATCAGGATTCTGTCCCCCACCCCAGGGTCTGACCTGCCAAAAGGAACCCTTGGCAAGCTCTTCTTCCGTCACAGAACCAGCCAGCGAGTCTTGTGTTTCCCTTGGAGAATTTCATGAAAGTAACAGAGGCCTCTTGAAGCCAATACAGGTGCCCTGGAGCTAAGGATCTCTGTCCCAAACTTGTCTCATACTCCACCATTTGTCCCTAGGAACTATGATCCAGAGACCCCCGAAACACTCGCTGAGGTCCCCCCACAATTGTTTTTTACCAACCCTTGCCAGCCAAACTCTGAGACCCAAAGAGGGGCGGGAGGGAAGCAGTGTAAGTCATCGGCTAACTTTTTGCACCAGGACAGTCTGCTGCCAGATCAACAGTCTCTGAACAGCTCAGCCAGAAGACCTCCAGGCTCAGCAGGCCCTTCTGAGCCTCTATAGTTGGGCTGCTGTTGGCCACATAAGCAAGTGTCAGCCCAGAGGCAGGAGGAGGCTGGGAGGAAGGCTGCGTGACTGAGATAACATCCTCAGGGCAGGGGCCAGGCCTGCCATGTTGTGTACACTGCTGTCCCTTCCGAGTGCCTGCAACCAGAATTTCCAGCTCAGAGGCCAGCAGAGAAGTCGCTGGGTTACCCAAGGGAATGCAGGCAGAGGGGAATCCACTCCTCTTGCCCCTCCAAGGATTGGCCTTCACATTTCTGCAAGTAATTGGGCAACACAAGAAACATCACAGCTACTGTATATTTAGTTCTATCATTTCTTTTACTGTCAGGGGAAAAACAAAAACAAAAACACTGGTAAAATCTGCTAATGCAAGGCCTGCAAATCACCAAAATAATAATAGCAGCTACTGTTTATTAAGTACCTACTGCAAGCCGGGTACCGTGCTAAGCTTACTGAACTCAAACAGTTGTTATAAGTGTCCCCTTCAAAGGTCACCTCCCCAGAGAGCCTTTCCCTGACCACTCTGGTCAAAGTGCCATTGGTGTCCACATTATTGCCCTTACAGAATGTACCCCTCTCTGAAATGCTCTTTCCTTTTTTTTTTTTTGAGAGGCCAATGCCGCCTTTATTCCTGAGTCAGCAGATACTGGAGAGGGTGCTCAGGCATACAGCCACAGTGGGATCCCTCTCGATCCATCCAAGAACCAGGTAAAGGCCAGACCCAGGGGGTCCAGTGACTCAGCGGCCTTAGGAACAGCGCAGAAGACTCTCTGCCTACGGGCCTGAAATGCTCTTATTTCCTTTTTTTCTTTTTTGGTCACGCCGCAACGCTTGTGGGATCTTAGCTCCCCGACTAGGGATTGAACCTGGACCCTCAGCAGTGAAAGAACAGAGTCCTAACCACTGGACCGCCAGGGAATTCCCATGAAATGCTCTTATTTCTTCATCTCCTGGTTTAACCACGTCTGTCTTCCACTCATCAGTCTCTCCAGCACCTGGCCCTGTGTCTAGTACAGAGTTCCTGCATTAATTTTTCAGCCCCTCCTCTGTGTAAGTGCAGGGTTGGGAGAGCCAGGTCTCTTGACCCCGCCCCCCAGACCCTGGTCTGCCAGCACCCATGATGGGAATCAGAAATATTTAGAGGCTAGAGATCTGTGCAAAGCACAGAGGCTTGGGCTTGCAAGAGGCCAAACTCGAGGCTGGATGCAAGGATACGGTGGCTGCAGCTCTGGGGCTGCTGGGATGGCAGAGCGAGCCAATGCCTCGAGCAAACTTGGCCCAGTGCTTGAGAGATGGATTTCACTGAGTCTTCACAACAAAACTATGACGTAAGTCCAATAATTACCCCCATTTGACAGGTGAGGAGACTGAGGCTCAGAGAGGGGCAGCTTCTTGCCCAAGATCACACAGCTAAGTCAGGACAGTGCCAGGATTTGAACTTAGTCCAGCGAGTGGGTCTGGGACTCAAGAGATCTGGGTTCTTTTAAGTCCTGCCTCTGTTATTAATGCTGTCTGTCCTGGAACAAGACACTTGGCTTCTCTGGGCCTCATTATTCTCCTTTGTCAAATAAGTTGATGAAGCTAGTGGACTGTGTCTGCTGAGGGCTTCCTGGGAAGGAGCAGCCAGGCTCAATTCCTCCAGCAAAGCTCGCCCGTGGCTAGGCTTGTCTGGGGTGGCGCTGGGGAACAACAACCTTTCCACACCTACCCAGACTCCTTTTTTCTGAGGGTAGGAAACCAAGGGAAGAAGAGTCAGAGGGCCCTAGCTCCCCACAGTGTCATCTCAGTCCAGCTGCTTTGCTCTCTGTGCCTCAGTTTTCTCTTCTGTATAATGGGGGTCCCAGCGAAACCCAGCTCATACATGCATAAATATGAGAAAGTTGATAAATATTAGCTCTTATGATAATTACCGTCATCAGCTTACAGAGCTGTTGGTAGGGTTTGATGAGACAAGGCACAGCCAGTGCCTGGCACACAGTAAGCACTCAACAAATGCTCACTGTTATTATTTTTTAGGATAAACATGGAGCCTGTCAAATGCATTCATTCCTCTTCACTTACCACAGAGAGGCTCCTGTATGCCCTTCAGTACTTGAATGGCCCTGCACTGAAGGCCAGGCTCTAATCGCAGCTCTGATCATTACTCGCTGTGTAGCCCTGGGCAAAAGGCTTGACCTCTCTGAGCCTTGATTCCTCATCCGTATAGCAGGGAACGTTTCTAGTACTTCCACTTAATATTGTCGCTAGAGGACTAAATGACCTAATCCTATAAATTCTGGCTATCCCGTTTTGAGCACCCACGAACAGCCAGGCACTCTGCTAACCAAGTGCCTGGGTCATTATATTTACTATTTTCCTGGCAGAGCCCCTCTGAGGAGGAGGTTGAGGAAGGTGACTGCTCATTTACCGACCACCTACTGTGTGCAGAGCGCTTTCCTCATTTGCCACCTCCTGATTCCTCCCAACAGCCCAATTAGGTTGGTACTAGGGTGACCCTGTTTCACAGATAAGGAGACCGAAGCTCAGAGAGGCACCTACTGTGTGCCGGCCCCCAGAGGACCTCCTGCCTTCTGCAAAGACGGAAATTTGCGATCACCTAGTCCGGAGGAAGGCTGAGGCCGACTGTCCGAGCCCGGCCGTCCCGCCTGGGGGCCGGGCTCGGGCCTCAAACTCGGGGGCGGCCTGCGGATCGGCACCCTCCGGCCCCATCCTCCCGCCCGTTCCTACCTGATCCGCGGCCGGGCCGGGCGGCCGCGCAGGCCCCTCCGCTTGCCCGGGCCCTGGTCC